ACTCTAGAATAGAAAAAGGCTGTCGAGTAAAATATTTTCAGAAAGAAGCTTCTTCAGCAGAAGAACGAGATGAGGTTTTCCTTTCAGCGAAGTCAGTTGAATGACGGCAAACAGATTGGAACAAGGTCGGCCATCCCTGATTCGATAAATTAATATCTCCATTAAATCGTTTGATGTCGGGCATGTTTCTTTGCTCGCGGACTTATTGTTGCAATTATGTAAATGGTCGCGGGGCAATCCTGACTGTGACACACTCCAGAATCCAAATTCGTATCTGCTTACGTAACCCTCGACTGACGCTAGATAAGATTACGCTTTATCGGCGGAGAAATATCGCAACGAACTTGAAAAATAAAACCGCGCAGTCGGCAACCAACGAAAATTCTCTCGCACCTCCTGCGCTGTTCGATGAACGTCGATATAATTTACAAGCCTGGGCTTATCGGCTGATAATGTGCTATTTATTAGCGAAAGTTGCAGTCATCAATGCAGTAACAGAAAACATCTAATTGCAATAATGCAGTTACAAAATTTGTTATTAGATGATGTGTTGATTCGTCAATTCCTTGTTCAAAAAATATCCACTATCTCTTAAGTCTCTCTATCTATCTCTAATTAATTCTTAATTTTTGAGACACAAGCAATTGCAATAATCCTCCGGAAACTCCTGAAGAAGAGAGGAAAGATGGTTCACCAGGACATAGGTTGCCAATTAATTTCAATTACCTGTGTTCGAGCTGTAAGCTAATTATCAACGGCCTTGAACTGTGTGTCGCGAATCAGTGCCAATTAACGCTCTGTCGCTATCTGCGAATATCTGGCGAATCGCGTTAATTACATCCATTTTGAACACGCGGACAGTGAGCAGGTGTAACGCGACACCGCAAGATTATTGTTCATTGTCAATGTCAGACGCCTCCATCGTCAGCCGATCGCTGTTAGCTCCAGGAATGTTTCTTCGATGCTTGGATCAATCTTCATTTTCGTTTAAGTTAACTGTCCTTTACATAAATGTATATGTCGTGTAATAAATGTCATAATTTCTTATCTTCTATGATTAATTTAAAGATAGACGGCATATATTAAGATTTTTATATATGTATGTACATACATGCCTCTTTTCTGATATTATTTCAGATTCCATGAGGCATAAGATCTAAGTATTTCTTTGGTTTTGTAGAAATATAAGATGTTCAAGTGTAAAATATTTTTATCTTTGAGTTTCCCTAAAAATAACAGAGGCACGACAACAGCAAAAATAGCTCCGATAAACAGGAGTATTCGTGAGACGTAGCAGCCCGTTAGTATCATTTTCTGATAACGGCAGAGTCAAATACAAGCGAAATATCACGCGAAGCTAGAACACTGGTCAAAGATGATGTATCATGAGTTATGAATAGGAAATTAGCAAGTGCAATTCGTGAATCGCACGACGACTCTCCCTCAAGAAAAAACACGTACAATCGCAGAACCTAAATGCGATATCTTAAAGGATCTAAAATATCGTTCGTGTAATTCAATTTTAGTGCGCAATTAAGAGATATTATTAGAAACAGATTGATTAGAACGCAACTTTTGCTGTGATTAAAATCTAACGAACTAACAACTGATTAAACGGATATGCATCTTATGTTATTGGAGATACATATAATCATATGTAATATAATTTTTTTATGATTAACAAACACGTGTAGCAAGTACCGAGTCTTAATATCAATTACACTGACCTAGCCAATAGCCGGCTAGATAAGAGTAGCCATGCGTGTGTCCGTGACGCGAGTAAATCGTGGCATTGCACGTTGCACCGGTTGCAACGAGGCGTTGCACGCTGCGTGCCGCGCACGGGGAACACGCAAGCAAGGAACAAGGCTTGCGCCAGACAGTCTGTTGCACAACTTAGGTATTGATCTTGGCCGGAACTAGTTTCCGTTTCCGTCTTCCCTTCCTAGCGTTCTCACCGCTTGCTTCGATTGAATTTGGAAAAAGCCGCCAACTTGGCTACATTCTTCTTTTCCACGATACGATAAGAAACTAAAAAATTATATAAAGAAACTTGAGAATAATTTTAAAATAAGCGAAAATCATCGCGACCGATCAGGGAACTGACTACTTGACCATTATTACTTTCCGTTCCACTTCCACGAACCGAACGTTTTACCAACTACTAAAGTGATATTAATTACATTTAAGTTTCCTCCTTTCTCTTTATTCTCCAGTCTCCAAATTAATTGCACACATAGCTGGTGTGTTAAAGTTTGATTAAAAGTACAGCTTCTTCTTTACTCATATAGACAGTTTTCACTTCCGGTTCGCTTTTTCCGTTCGCCACTCGTTTTTCGTTCGCGAACAATCAATCGAGCTGCAACGAGGAGACCGCGGGAGTACATTGCACCGGCGAGGTATTGATCTCGCTCGCGGGTGTCTTTTTCGGTTCTCGTGTCCCCTCGTACAAGCTTCCCATTCGAACTTTCAATTCTCGATCCTTCGCCTACCTTACCGACTGGAGCAAACCTAAAAAAAACATTCGACTTCTCATTCATGGAAAAGGCCTATCGTCTTCGCGGCCCAATTTGGAATCGATTAAACGTACTTTATGAGCCTCTAGTCTCGTAAACAAAAAACATCGCGTGTCCAGAGGAATCGAATATCGGTTCCGGGAAGAAACTAACAGATATGGGTTGCGAACTGCCACGAAATTAGGGAGACGGAAGGGAGGAAAAATTGTAAAAAACCCGTCCAAATCCGAAGCATTTTCTGTCAGCCTCTAACTTTCATCAGCCGTGTCTCTTTTTCACTCGAAACAATCGCTGTCGATAAGTTATCGAAACTAACGACAATGTGCTTCGAGTTCCAAGAGTGTGATAAATCTCCAATTCTCGCGCATTTATCTGTCTTCCAGCGGTCTATCCTTTTTTACCCTTCTCATTTTGCTACATCCAAAGCACGTTGATTCGATCGATCTACATAGCCACGTGATGGTGAAAAAGAACGAAGGAGAAAACAAACGCAGAGGAGGCGAGCATTGAGGCCATTTGCAAACACGTCAACCACACCGCACCACTACGCTAAAATAAATATAGAAAAACTATAAGTATTTCAAAATTACAGGCAACCTACAATTTATATAACTTCCATTTTTTAAGCAATTTATACATATCGCTTTATGGTATATGGACGTGAATTAACATTCACATAAGTATAACATTAATATTGTTTACCGAAAAATAATTCTGCCGCTGTAATCTTGGTTCAACGCGAACCGCTCAGTTGTAGCGCGCCATTTCAATATGGCGTCGGTAGAATACAATTTCAAGTAGAAGAGGTAGAACGTGTGGATAAAATATATGTATGTAGCATAATTTGTTTCCCTCGCGAGCTGAAAAAGGACGACAAATCGTCTGTTTTTAAAACAAAATCATTCAAACGATTCTAAACGCAATAAATTTCCTCAGCTGCATAATATCTGCAACTCAAGTCGCGGTACAATGTCTCTTTTGTTATCTCCTGCGCTATGATTTGCAACACAGTGGCATGACTCGAAGAATGTGTGATGTTTCTAGAAACAAAGCAATGCCAATGCCCCTTGATATGGAAAGCAAGACACAATGGAATATTACGGCTACCTCGCTGACTGTATCCAGTCGTTCTCTTTATCATTGGAAAGAGAAATTGAATTGCGTCCTGTCAATGCTTTCTCGGAACCTTTACCAACGAATAACTTCGCTGTTTCCTGTCGAAATATGCATTAACCTTCCTATTCGTTGGAAGATATTCGAACAATTTGCTTGAGAATTCAATATATTATTTCAACGTTAAAGCTATTAAAGTAAACGAAGAAAATTAATTACGTTTTATATCTGCAGAGAAACTAAATAGCATTCTTTTAGTTTTATTTGAGGTATATATTACCAACATAACCGTAGCAACGATCTTGAGAAGATTATGGATCTCTTTATCTCTAGTAGAAAATTCTTTATCGTAATCACATTTTTCGGCCAAATGTATTATTAAAAGGCGAAAAATTTGATTCCAAGCCGAAACAAAGATGTTGGCGTCCATACATACATACATATACTTCTCTTAGAAACATCTTCGCCGCCTCGGACCTGTCAAAACGTGCGCATGCGCTGCAGGGGGAAATGAAACAACAGGGAATGTCATTGACCCCGAGTGCATGTACATATCTAACAAGAGGTTAAGGTTAATTTTATCACTCTATGGTGAAAAATACTTCCTTCCATCATTAACGTGGAATTCTATGCAGGCATCGAAAATTGAAGAAAGAGCATTGGCGACCCTTTCCTTTCTCGCATAAATAATTGCGATCACATTCGATAATTTATGTTCATCTTTCGGCAGTTCCATCACATACCAAAGCGAATTCTTTATGGAGCAAAAGGAATCATTTACCTTATGAAATGATCTACAAAACTTTAGTAAAACCCGCTGGAATTCACTGCGGATTAACAATTTTTTAAAAAATGATGACTAAAATAATTTTATGATTGTGAATATAATATACAGATGATCAGAAGCTATACACGGTTATAAGTTTGTCAGATTTGTAGCTTTGTAATAGCGGTAGGAAGGTGCAAGCTAGTATCGATCTTCCCTCTTTGCAAAAGTCTCCAACTTTTTCTTTTAGTAATATAGAAAACGTTAACTGCATTTTTACGACTGTAAATTTTAATGTGTAAAAGAAATATTAGAAGTATGATCGAATGACAAGACAGAAAATTGCGAAGGAAAAATAAATTGCTCGAGCGCTCTATACCACGTGCACCGAAGTCAGGGTTAATATTCATTTTCATCGATCGTTCATTTCCGAAACCAAAGCTTCCGGTTATCAAACAACGCACAAAATAAAAACCTATACCCATAAGATATTAATGAACATGATTAATTGAAATAATAAAAAGGACTGGTATCCTAAAGCATTAACAAATTACCTAATATATAGATAAATAGATAATATATTGCCTTATTTGCTATTCACTTACCCATGAAATAATAGATTCTGCCTGCAGCACATCTCCTACAATTATCCTCATCGATTACACCAGATATTCCAGAGCTACATAAGGACTCGCCTGAATCTTCACCACGTCGACCATACACTGTGTGGACACACTGCACGCACACACCCGTCACACAGCACAATTAACCGGGGAAAAACCGGCGTCTCCAGATCCAAGGAGAGAGAAGAAAACACTTGCCACTTTACTGGACACCCGCGTCACTCATGGGAAGATACCATGTCACCTTCCAGTCACGGTCACAATCGCGATTCGCGCGACCGGTTTCAGGGAAAATCGTATCCAAGAATATTCTCGAGCTTAAATTCACCATACTTTCAGAATAATCTCAAAAAACTAGAATTCCCCTAGAAAATGATTGAAACTCTCGAAGAACTTTGACAGTTGGTATCCGATAATCGAGTTTCCTCTACCGGAAGTGTCTCTGAAAATACGTAACCATGTTAAATAACCGCGGGAGGGGACTGAAATTCACTCGTCGAAACACCGTCCTTTTTTCAGGAGATTAATACAAAAGCGACTCGAAATAGCACAAAGAAATTCTACGTAGACATATTTAAAAATAAAGAAACGACGGAAAACGTCGGATGAAGGAACACGTACTGGTTGTTCGGGCATACGGCTATACGAGAAACGAGCATCGTCGGTGACAGCGACAGACTGCGTGCCGTGGGACGCCAGCTGAACCAGCGAACGAACCGAGACATGGACGGTGGAACCCGGACGGGAGGAACGGCGGAACGAACGGAACGGCGGACTATCAAGCTTGCACCTTTGCTCCCCGACAACGATCAACCACGGTCCCGGCTGCACTTCGTGTTCCACACGCGTCGGCCCTCGCATCATCTTTTTCATTGGGAGCTCGAGGAGCGGAGAGGAAAGGATGCCGCTTATTTGATGCACTGGGAATTTCACTGGTCCTTGTGTGATGCAACATACTCCAGTGACGAACCTTCCCAGATTTCATATCTCTGCAACAGGAATTATTTATGAAATATGTTAGATAAAGTACCTATAATGATAACATATATAGAAAAATTAGTTTTTTTTAGAATTACGTAGTAATAAACACCACAAGTGTGAAAAAGGAGAGTCTCATCCTACTTCCGGAGACGAGGTCGAGGCATCTCGTGCGGAAAAACCGAACGACGGGGTCAGACGGCCGGGTTCAGTGACACGGAGAGAATTTGCTTTTCCGCGGGGGTGGAAAGTGGAGGAACAGAGACGGAGATTGAGAGGGGGTGGCTACTGGGTTGGCTGGACGGAGGGGTAGGAAGGTGGGAGGACTCGACAGGGTAAACGTACTTACACGCTAGCACGAATTCGGCGCGAAGGAGAACGGGAACGAAGCCGAACGTTCGTATAGTTGCAGAGAGCTTCGAGGCTGCTCGGAGACGCACATGGCTGCCTCTTCTCTCTATTTCTCTCCCTTTTTCTTTCTCCGTCTGGTCTTTGCCCTCTCACCCTCTTGCAGTCGGTGGTCTGTCGTGTTCCGTCTCTGTTCCTCTCAGTCAACTCTCCGTTTAGACCGTGCGAAATTCAGTGCCAGTGGCGTAACCAGTGGGGGACCATCGACCCCACTCCACATTACTATAGTTTCACTCTTACCCCTCCTTCGTGCAGTCGGCCAGCGTTGCCACTTGCCAATAGCGTTGCCAGCTCGTTGCAATTGAGTGGGAGACAGCCCCCTCCCCCTTTTATCCCGCCTAAGGTCGACTTAGAAAATCAGCCAGCGTGCAGCGAAAATACCACCTGCGACATCCTTCTGATTCTGTTTAATTTTTACTGATGATTTTACCCTTTATATCTCCCTGTGACGAGCGACATATGTGTTACTCTTTCAAGGAGAATCGGAGAATCGCTTTTGAAAGGTCCAGTATTGAGTGATTGTACAAGACTATAAGTTATCATCTTTGAGCTTTACCAGTAGTAAAAATATTAAATATTGATAAACTAGGATGTGTTACTATGTCAGTCCTTTTCTAAGTACCTCTATTACCTCTATTTCAATCATTCCAATTTCCTATAAGAGAGATAAGTCAAGCATTATATTCTGTTCCATCCTTATACTTAGATTGCATAATGACGAAGAATACTTATACCTTGGGGATTAATTCTCCGCTATTACTAACAAATGTGTAGATTTTGTAACATTCGTAATATGTATTTTACGTTGGACTGATGTAACAGTAAAATGTCACTGGACGATTTTATTTTTCTGTGCACTGAGCGGACCAGTCTCTCCTCTTACGGGGAGCTACCGCTGGATACGTGTGAGCTTGCCGCCTATCCACATAGGCAGAAGCACATGCGTATATATGTATAGTGCGTTCACATGAAAGCTTGAAAAGTGCAATGGACGATATCTCGTGCTGCTGGCTGCATATAGGTATGTAGTGGGGGTGGTGGAGGCCGACATGGCGGCCAGTTTTCTGGAACGTACACGAGCCTGCCTCTACCAATTTTCTTCCTCCGGCCAGTCTGCCTCTCAATCTTTATCTTCTTCCTTCCGTCCGTGCATACCCTTTTGTCTCTCTTTTTTACCCTCGTATTTCTTGAAAAGGGAAAGAAACCGGCTGAGATTGAAAAGAAACATCCATCGGATTACTAGACTTGTTTGTAGTAGCAACAACAGTATGAATAATTACACGTAAGAGTATTGGTCTCGATCGAATATCTTGTTCCCATAAAATTTACAATATACATACGATACCCTGACTTCTGTTCATTGAGCTTCTTCGATCGAAGATTAGATCGGAACAAAAAATTAATTGACGCAAAGATCATAGACGAAGCATCACAAAGCGGTTCTAAGAGGCTCGGCCCCCAGTATGTTAAATATTTGTCGTCACAGGCTTCATTACTCTCGAAAGATTGATCAAGGGGCCGCGGAGAGGCAGCAGGAGTCAATAAGCAGAGGAGCCAAGTGTCGGTGAAGGTGTGCAGGCTTAAACTTTAATTCATATGAGTGAATATCGCTCAATCGAGCCGAGAAGATTTCGTCCATCACGCTTCGCTGCCACCTTCCACCAGTATTCCAGCCATTCTGTATTTCACGCCTATTTCAAACACCTCGGTAATTATATTCAAGATAAAACATATTGCTCTCAAAAAGCGATTGAAAATTGATCAACAAATTCTACCGAAACTTACAAATTTGTAATCTTCTACCAGGCAATATGGCTGCCACATTTGTGCCATTTTAATCGCAATGCTACCTATGCAACACCTACCACATAGCATCGTATCTGATCATTCATTAACTGTAGAAGCATGAGTTCCCTCTAACGAGAGAACTTAAATAATTCCCAAGATTATAATATTCGTTCTTTCTCTCCCCTCTTCAAGCCGCTTCGACACTGTCACGGATATATAATCGAGGATGAAAGAGCAGAGCGAGTCGGTAAGTATCGGACAAGAACAGACAGCCCTTATAGAAGAGAAAGAGAGAGAGAAATAAAGAGTCGTGGAGAGGGGGAGAGCGAGTGCAGTTCTCGCGATCCAGCGTGCGTTGCACTCCGCACGAAAAAACATCGTCCGGGCGGGTCGAGGAAGGAGGAGGTGGATCTTCGTGCATCTCCGGCCCGCGTCGGAGCTTATATTGATCACGAGAGAGTGCACGATATTCGAGAATACATTATACGCGGACTCTAGCCTAGCCGGACTGCCTATAGTCACGCGGAGTATAGGCAACCAGGCCGCTGCACTCTACCCCCTCCCCCCTAAAACCCTTCCCCTGCTCACCACGACGACTTGATCCCCTCTCCTTTTGATTGTCTACCTGTCCTTGTTCAATGCACTCCCTGGTTCTTCTTGTTCTTCTTGCTTCAACTGAACCTCCAGTCTAGTGATGGACACTCGTTTCTCTCTCTGCATCGAGTTTCTGAACAATTTTTGATGGAAAAAATGATTCCGACCCGTAGCTAAATCTCAAAATTTAATACGGTTTGGAGTTTTTCGATGATCTAGGTCGTGTCTCTTGGAAAACTTTGATTTTGGATCTCTAAAATAGTAGATAATATAACATTAATAATAAAAGGTAGGAACAGAAACTCTTGGGCTTAATTGGTCTAAGATGCTTCGAACCTATCACTGCTACATCTCATGCTCCTTCGTCCCCTTCGACTCTCCCTCTCAAACACATCCATCCATATATACAGGGCTAGACTGCTTGTTCTCTTTCCGTTTCATTTTTCATCTTTTTCTTTCTTTCTGCTTTTCTGCCCGCCTCCCCGCCTTTTGCTTCCTCTTTGTCATATACCCCTATATTTCGTGTGTTTTCTGTCGTTCTTTTTCCGTCCGTCATCTACTCCATTCCCTAGCCGCTATTTTTCTCGATTTCTCTCTCTCTCTCTCTCTCTTTCTCCATCAGTCGCACTCTGTCTGTATCACCCCAATTGGGGCCGATTGCCTGTGCATTTCCTCCTGGAATGTATATGTACGACAAAACTACAAACACGGACTATCGCTCTTTTAGACCCTTCGTTGCTTTAAAATAATTAACAAAGAAATATTCCATAAGTAGATATTTCCTTTACAGGAAATTGTGTTATCAACGTACTGGCTTCATAGAACCTTTAGAACAGAGTTGTGGAGCAAATTCTCCTGAGGTGCGGGTATTAATCCAGAAGGTTCTTCATAGCATCCCCCAGGAGCCTCCCCACCTATCGAGGACACGTCGACGATGCCAATGGAGGGGATCTGGATGGAAAGAAGGGAAAAGGGGCGGCGTGCGGGCAGGGGACTGTTGGCGGGTATGCACGGTAGGGGCAGGAGAGGACCTTGGCCTTTTCGCGGGGCAAAAATAAAACCTGTTGACACCGAAGCCCCGCGGACGTAAAGGAACCTCTCTGTCTCCCTTCTTCGACCAGTTTCCAATATCTCTCTTAAATATTCGCCTGATGATTCTCCTCAAATTGCACGATTTTCGAACTCGTTCATATAGGTTATGGTGCTATTATTTTGTTAGTGGAAGTTCCAAGCTGGTCTAAAAATAAAAGGAGAACAAGGATATGTTAGATTAGACCAAAGTGGAATAAGGCGCATTTGTACTTTTGCGTTTACAAAACGTCATCGTTACTGTCGATGCGTAAAATGAACGCCCCCGCGGCTTTGTGCGCTCCCAGGGCCGGTTTCATCGCATGTTGAGTCTCCGCTTCGCACGGGCATTCCTTTCTACTACTGCATTTCGGCCATTCTTTTTGCTGCTTTAACCTTCCAGAACTCTTTTTCCGATACATCACCATCTATCACAGTATATTTCCTCCAAATTTCGTCATCTAGATTTCAATTATTTTTCATCGCGGACATTTTGCGTAATAGTTTCAAGTTTCTCATAGTTTAGAACTTTATGGTGACTCATGGAATCGAGTATGGCTCGGCTATACCGTCAACTTCTGAGAAAATCCGCATTATTCAAAAGTGATCTTAGTATTATATACAGTAATACCAGTCGAATGCATCTGGTCTCCAGTGTTTCCCCTATAGTACCTACCAGACACGCTGCTCCAACGATTGCTTTCTGCGTGTTCGTGCGTGCACGATGCCGAGCATGCACCTTGCCACGACTAGACGAGCGAGAGACGACGAGAAGCGGCCTCCGGCAACCTCAACCTAGCTACAGACAACCGCTACCGTCTCTGTGTGCACGCTATGCTGCCACGACGCGGAAAAAAGCGATACAGAATGTACCGACTAGGCTACCAGCCGCTACTCCCCATTTTTTTATGAGAAAATTTTGCTTGAAGACCAGTTGTACTTTCCTTCTCTTGCATAATCATTCCTCTTGGATTTATTTAGATCTTTGTTTAGTAGTCATTGTTTAGCAAAAATAGATATAGTTATAAGTTAACTATAGACTTCTATAAATGAAATAAGAATAATTATAAGTTATCGATACTAATTGTTAAGAATTCAGTATTACCTAACCTCCATCTAATATACAAATTGACCGCAAAGTACCTCCAAAACTAAAATAAGCTTGCACATGAAAACAAAATATAGCTGGTACAGGAAGCGACACATCAGGATGGAAACGCATCGTATAGGAATGCACCTGCCATCGAACACGGGAAACGAGCTTACGCAGAAAAATGCGATTCTTCTGCAAAGTTGAGCGATTCCCGGCAAGAGAAAAGGTCACGCACACCTGCGTAACCACGGTGCAGGTATGTGCACTGCGCACAGCATCGATAGTAGGTATATACATAGCTTTGTGAGCCTCCACCGATGTAGAATAACTCGATGCTCTTCGGCTAGACAGACCAGAGACAGAAAATGGCGTATTTCTTTCTCGTAACAGTGCATTTTCCATCGGGTAACGCTTTATATATCTACAAATTTAAAAATATAATATACCCGAAATATAAAGAGGATGAAAGGTTGCAGAGTTAATAATAATGGAAACAAATTTGTTTAATATAGAAGAGTTGCAACGATAAAAGCGGTAGTACAACGTGGCTACCATCGATGGGGAAACGTATAAATAGAGGGCTGGCCTAACAGGCCATATCGGAAAAATTCTCATTTAGCCCCTGGCCAATGAAAGACCAGGTGGGTCCGCATGAAAAACTCCAGAAGGGAAAGGGTCACGCCTGTTAACTTCGGGAGATCTTAGAAGAGTGGCTCAATGGAGGGGGCCTCGAGTGCATCTGCATCCGGGAAATAAAACGTATCATGCTAAACAATTAAACGAAACTGGAATATGAAGCGGTCTGGCTAACTGCCATTTCAACTGATTGGGTGACTTCTCATTCAAAAGTTTCCGCAACTTCCTACAATAAAAAATATATTGATATTTTGTCGCAACTGCAACTTGAACGTCGAAGACACAAAAATAACAAAATAACGTTATGGGAAAGTTCAATAAAATATCCCAAAAATAATAATGAAATACCTAGTCGTGATTGTTGATTCGTTGCTGGTTGCAAGCAGTTTTTCATCTGTAAAAGTAGTCGAGATAAAAAGAATATCCAAGACAAAAAGCAAGTAGAAAGGAGTACGGAAGAGAGGAAGAAAAGGGAGAGAGAGAGAACCTTGGCCCACAGGCCTACTGCAGCGCTGCAGCTTGCTTGCAATGTACCTCCACTGCTCTGCCATTCATGTGGGAAACACCCTAGTATCCGTTCGTCGTGGGGCTGGGCCAACAACCGCCGGAAAAATTTCTCTTTCGATGCACTGCAACGGCCCCGCCCCGTATGCTAGAGTATAGGGAAGAAAAGTTTAGAATAGACGGTGCAGGCTGAACATTGCAATGTCCGCCAATTTACTCGAGATGGAGATTCTATGAACCATTGAAAATCACCTTATATAGTGTCTCACGAAAGTATTCGAATACTTACCAAAGAATTTATTTTATGATTTTATCAATATATCACGTGCATTATACGGAATTATTTGAAATTTCGTTGGCACTGTAACGAGATACGACTATCAGGATTATTGTAGTAATATTTGAAATCGAAAATGTATGAAAGAGTTAGAAGATTTTTGTTGCAAACATATATTTAGTGAAAAAGTTAGTATAAAGTATGAATAGTAACCTTAAAAACGAGTTAATAAAAGAGTTAGTCTTAAAGATGATAAAGATTTCATTATACATATATTGTGCCTTACTAATATGTGAATACTCGACTGTTCATCCAATAAACATCTTGTAATATCTGTATACATTTTCAGATCTGTTGCACATTTTATCAGTGCCATCGCAAAAATCGTGTCTCGTTATGAAATGATGCCAATGAAATTTCAAAATATTTTGTGTAATGTGTATGCACATACTTAAAAAGCTTTTGGAAGTGTAAGAATACTTTCGTGAACCACTGTATACCAGTTTCAGGTGCGATTCGTTTAAAAAAATAATAAAATTAAACGTATTATTTGAAGAATTAAGCAGAGTGGCTTTTTAACATTATTTACAATAAGTCATGAAATACGAGATTATGTAGTTAAAGAAACTTATTACAGTGCATGCAATAAAATTTTAATAGATTGGAAAAAACGGCCGCAAGGTGGATGGCCAGCGCTACTATCGTTAGTGATTATATCAACACATTCATGGCCAAATACAAAATCGAGGTTCTGCAGAGAATTCGAAAAATTTGATTTCGAACATCGTACTATTATTAATTAAAATAACTGCAAAAAATTCTTATCTTTTCAAAATCACTAACTAAACTGCATGGATTTATTTTAATTATGGAAAATCGTACTCACATGTCAGTGGTCGTTAATGTTTAAAGTAATTTTTATAACTTTTTTGACTAATTTCCTTTAATCTTTAATATGAATTGCTTATTAATATATTATAACCTCTTTTATTGTTGTTAACAATAGAATTGACCATATGATCCCGACCTTCTATGGTTTACGATCTCATTAGCCTAACCTAGGACTCTTCTTGCTTCTTTAACCTCGCACGATCGAATAGCCCGATAGCATTATGTACGCTTGAACTTGCTCGACGTCGCTTCCCGCGTTTCAATCGGCTCGAGGATTGCAAATGACGATAAGAAGATCGATAAAGATGATCGATTTTTAGTTATCTCGTCAATATGTTAATCGATATATGTATCGATCAATCTCGGAACTCAAAAATTCCTCTGCACTGTTAATATCACGCTTCGATATTTTAAACAACTGCGATTCTCGAAGAATACTGCCAAGAACGCAATTAGCATTCAAACAAGAAAATTAACGTTAAAAGTCCGTATTTCGTCCTACGATTGAATCATTATGTACACTAACATGCATAAGTATTTAAACGCTTTCAAATAATCGCAAATATATACATAAAATATTCTTCAAATAAAGCCCTTTAATCTTATCTCGGATAACCATTTACATTTAGTAAATATTGATAAAAACAATAGTTGATATTAATTAATATAAACAGAAAAGTAAGGAATCCTAAAGTAAAAGCTAAGTTAAGTGACCTTAAATGAGAATAAGCGTCGCAGTAAGTCGTAGAATAAGCGAAGTATGTGCTTGCAACCACATCCGACAAGTTTATATAAAAAAAATATTCTAGCTGCAATTTGGAGAAACATTTGACTTTAGGTATAACAAAAAACAAAGAATTAACAGTAGAGAAATAGTCTTCTATCATAATGTTAAAGATATAATACAAATATTAATGTTTTTATTGGATTGTATCAAGCGTCCAAATTTTTATGAATAGTAGTGTACATTCTAACAAATGATTTTGTCCAAAGTAGGCAAGTGTCCAGTATCAAATCAAATTAAGTATCGATTTTTGATAATCCGAATCATTAACTGTGATTATACTCCTTAGAGTCGATTCGTCAGATTCGCATACTGAACTTGATCCCGTTCCATTTGATCGGCAATTGCGAACGCGTGCCAGAATCAACTGGCAGCACGAAAAACAGCGGAAATGCGAATTCTGTTCTTTACCTCGGTAGTCCAGTGAGAACAGGAACGTCGCCGCATCCCATGGACCCGTGCGTAGACATCTCTAACCGTAGAAAATCCAACGACATAGGAAACAACGGAGAAAAGAACGTGACGATGTATATATCCTATATCTATCGAACACCGTTCGTTCGTATGTTAGGTCGCCGCTCCCTGAGAGATCACTGCCCTCACGCACACCCGGTGCCTTCTCTCGTTCCTTTGGTTGATCGTCGTCGTGTGTCTCTCTGCCCCAACGACGGGAGCCAGGGGCGTGCCACGAAACTGGCGTGCCCATCGCGAACGATATACACATGAATTGTTCTAATTTTTGTAGCAATTTCATTAACACACTTCGTAATTTCAGAACCATTATTAAGTTACTGCGAGTACTGCCTCAACAAAAAGAAAAACGTAAAGAATCATGGGAAGCTTGAAGGAGAACAGAATCTTGAGGTAGTGATGGAACCGATTCGTCGATCATTGCAAAATATTAGAAACAGGAGTATGTATTTCAAATGTATTTCTGTATAACAACACTTTCACACAAGACTCAAGCAAGAACTTTAGATTAGAAGAATGCAGTATGAGGCAGATAATTCCGTTAACCAAGTTCATTTCTAGACATGTTGGTTGATATTAATAAATACTATACTATTATAACAACACTTTCACAAATATGTAAGTTCAGATAGTTAACAGTTCCTTTATTTACAGAATACCGTAGCCGTTGCTTGCGAATACGTTATTCCCATCACTACCGGTCGCAAATTTCCCTCCCTCGAGTCTGAATTTCGAGACTATCGAGCTGTCTTGAAGTTCCGATGAATAACTCTCATTTGACGTAGTGACCACTCACGAACTAGCAAAATCTTTTTGCAGAAACTCGCATGGATCAAGGAGCATGCAGTCCAGAAAATATTTTCGCGGTGGATTATCCTTTGACGGAGTGCACTGGCTGTTCACATACTCGAACCGTGTGTCTCGTTCGCGAATTCGCGGCACACAGACGGCTGGCAGCCAATTGCAAAAACCCCTTCTTTTCGCGGCGGAAAGAACAAGGGATCCAGAAACCCTACCCCCCGGGGCACGTGTACGTGTGTGCGGGCTGCACGTTGAGCGCACACCACCGTACGCAATGTATACGTGCAGGAAAGGGAAGGCCGACGTACACGAGCCGGCAACGAGACGATGATTTCCATTATTTCGCCGGCACGCGTGGCAAGACTTGTTTAACGAGCGCAACGTCGCCATCTGTATCGCGAATCTCGCATCATGATAATCACGAATTAACCGACAAACAACTCTACTTCTGATGGATAGCGCTTGCGCAATTATCGATTGGAAAATAGCAAATTCGTATAGTTTTTATACTAATAAAAGAGATTAGAATATCAACTTCGGTAATACTTATAATAAATTTTCTATAATTTAATAATAAAGAATTTTAAGTTGTTTAAAAATATTATTTATTTGCGATAGAAATCCATTGTAGTTTTAGAATACTGACTTCTACTGAGTAATTTTTAAATTGGCCAATGAGGATAGAAAGGACATTTTGATTTGGGTGATCGATCATATGCATCAATTTTCTCGTAATAACTTTCTTTTACGCTGTAATGGAAACCGGATTAGTCAAAGTTGGTAAGAATTTTTATGTACACTAATAAATTTGTTGTTTTTTTTTTTTTGAAGAATTTATTTAATGAAGCAATATTATTCAAAACCGATTCGTAACTTTCAAAAGTCAATAGTCCTCACCAAATACGATGTCACAGTTTTTTAAAAAGTTAAACGTGATTTTAGAACCAAAAAAAAATGCATAATTTTTAGATCTCTTTTTCCAAAATCGTTAATTTAAGGTCTTTCCTTCCGATTACCTGGACATAGTTAAGTTATTCTTTTCTCTAGAGGAAATCGTAGTACAGTACAAGAAAAACTATTTCATATGTTCATTTTTTCCCTTAATGTTATATTTTTTATTGGTATGTAATACGTATATAATAATATATATTTATATATATATATTATATTCGTCAATATCGAATATATTAATATTTTATTAGTTTTTCTTTCCATAAATTAAATAAATAACTCTTGACTGTGTGATATTATTAAACAAAATATTTTACAAAAGTAAATAGTTATAGATTGCCAGGTGTTCAGTGAAGAGTGAGGATAGATGTATGTTTTTTACTATATCGTCTATTCAAAAGTAACTAGACATCCGAAGCGCTTTTTTTATTCCGTATACGTGATTTTTGGCGAAGTCATGATTTTCTCTTCGTTTTTCTTTAAATACCAAATGTTATGAATTTATATATTATACTTCTATTAAACCCGTCTGGCAAATCTCGTTCTTGAAACACATGATACATTCACTTCATATAAAAAAAGAACTAATATAAAAAAAAACTATATAAAGAAGAACTAGAAGAGAAAAAAGTCAAAGATAAAGAGAAACGATGAAGATTCGAAAGAGAAGACAATGGTTCGAGAATCCTGGTGAGACCTTCTGTTCGTGTCTTTAACTTTCAAAAATGTTTGTTCATACTAAGCATCTTATTGATCTTTAGAGAATTATTCACAGCGATTCTTTGAAAAATGCACGAAAGCATCTGGTTCCTGAAGAAGCCGAAATAAAAATGACCGGAACACGGAGGAATATCTCTAACCACGAAGAAAAACAAAAATTTAGTTATAATGGAACATGATTATCGCCAATAGTCACACAATACACACACGATTCGCTTTGTATGTTCGATAAAAACGACCTCGGCGTTTCTCATCGTTCAATGTTTAGTCGCTTTTCAATACCACGCGATAAAGTATATTAATTCCTTTCCTTTTCTCTTTGTCTGTTTTCTTTTTTTATACTATATGCTGGACTGAGGTATTGAGAGGCAAGATGGTCGTCTTTTTTATACTCTAGGCATGGCGTAAGGTTACAAGTGAGAGCTGTGAGGCTGTTGCTCGTAGAACAATACGTAGGCTTCGTTGGAAACGACCGATCGCGCTGGAACGACGGACACACGGCTGTCATTATACTCATGCCACTCCCCCGAGTATGGATGCTTACAATACGCCGTGTAATGGCCGGAGTGCGTTGTGCCCGAGTGATTCGCGACACCGTACAAATTGTACGTACAACCCGGAACTCTGGGCGCGGCAAAGGCACTGAGATCCAAACCTGTCAATGGAAAATCTACCATTACGTTTAACTTGCTGCGGAATCGTTCCATCGGTGAAAAACGTTTTAAATCTTTAAATTTTCATTAAGGAAGCTACGATGAAATAAGAAATAAATTTCGACATTTGAAAAAAAAAATTACTCTTCAACAAGTACATAATAGGATTTCACAGCACATAATAACTAACCATGACCTGTTTAACGTTTAATCTTCATTATGATTGGGAAAGGATACGAATAACAAGAATCTTCGGGAACTTCTGTATGCTGAAGCTTTTCGTGCACTTTCTCCTCATCTGACACTTGGAACAAGTCGGTTTTTCGTCACCGTCGAGCACCTCTTCTCGCGTGAAGTGTTCCAAACATTGACTCAACTTCACTGTACCACTTCTGGCCGGTATTGGCAAGCTTAGATCCCAGAAAGGATCCAATGTAACCGACACGTGGTCGCAAGAAGTGCAGTGCAACGACGAACGTAATTGGCCCACGAACACGTCCACTATCATACTATCTTCGCTGCGCAGGTAGCGTTTCCAGCTCTCTACTGCCTTCTGACTGTCACTATTCATAAAAAAATCACCAACATTTATATAATTAGTACCCTTAGACATCGTCATTCTTAATAATTTTTTCTTTCTTACATTCCGTATTCACAAATAAGATTTAAGGTTTTCTTACGTGTACATTTCAGGAATATCCGTGTGTATCGGTTGCGGCTTCACCGTCACCCTGTTCACGTCTTCGTGCAGTCCTTCCAGCAAGTATCTGAGAAATTCTTGAGCATCTTGTTGGCTGTACCCCATGAAACGTGGTGCGAATCTTTGTATCTGGGATTTAAGCGCCGTCGTGTTAACCACGAGATCACCGCCCACTTCCCACAGCTCGTGAATCACCTGACTGAAGGCCTTGATAAGAGCCCCTTTCATACTGCTTGTGGAGGTGTTTATGTCCGCCAGGTACTGTTCGTTCAGCAAATATTCCAGTAACGGTCTCGTGTTGCTCAAACATTGGATTACGCTGTTCATAAAACACTGAAAGACAGAAACACTAGTAAAAAAAACCGGTTCTTTCAAAATGGTCTTTAATGTCATTTTTTGTGTACAAGCAGGGTCCAGCATTATATAGATTCTGAAGGAAATATATTAAGAACTACTTCATGCATAGCAGTGAAGAAACTTCAACTGGAGAAGCAGAAATATCCCGTTTCAACGCGTAACATGGTCATAATATTGCACCCTTGAATTTTACCCAGCGTTATTAATTCTTTCTTTGATTATACAGCACATTCAACTTTAAAAGGCGTAAATTAATCCATTTTCATATTACTAGCAAATACACGTGTTGTTGTGGATAAACAATTATACGCAAAGTTCAAACACAGACTAACGTCGCAGCATAAAAGTTGATGTAATCATAAGTACATATTCTTGATATATAATTAGTGTATACTTACTGTGTTTCCAATATTTCGCAACCCGTTTAGTCCACATCGCTCATCGCGATGCGCTTGTAGCCGATTACGTGCTGATTTGTTTGTCGGGCTTCCTTCCTGCAATAGACATAAGAGTTACATTTTTAAATCTAACTGAGCTACTATTTTCTAGGCATCTACTTCTCTACGGGGAACAAAAACCGTCAAATTCTGTCGCGTTCTCTGTTCTAAGCACGACTAGTTATACTTCTTTGGTGGTGGCGGTGTCTAGCTTGCGGCATAAAGAGCATTTCACACGAATATATGTATACGCACGCACACACACATACCACGAAGTCGATATGACCTTGGGGATGGATACGTGCTATACAGAGAGAGACCGGTTAGTTATGGACCGATTATGTAGAACACGGCATTTGGATTAGTAATGTGCATCACCGGTATTGAAAGAAAAGAAATACCACACGGTACGTACATTTTTCGGTGTGTTCAACCTCAGCGTATGGATTGTTCCGAACAGAAAGTACGCCCAACATAATATATTCAGAAAAGGGAAGACAGCGTAAATATTTAAAGCGTCGAACAGTCGTGAAAAAGAATCGGTACTCAACGACGAAGTCGACGTCATTGCGTGCTCGAACGGGACTAAGTATATTCTCCGTATCTCTTGTACCTATATTCTTCACGAACACTCACCTTCGTGCGACTGGCTGGAGGCTGCAGAGTAGCGCGCGCGGTCACTACGGAACTGTTGAACTGTACTGAATAAACACCAAAAGAGACGCGTTTCTGAGGCGTCAGAGGAGCCGCAACGCCCAACAGGAACGCGTACACGAACAGCAGAGTAATCACTACCCACACGCACCACAACCCCCAGCCTATCAGTTGGGTATAAGCCAGTTTACACGGTGTAACTTTCGAGAACCTCCAGTCCCTCTGCATTAACCACCAACCCGCCCTCTATTTCTCTCGAGCTTGCGAGTACGTTGTCGGATGAACGTAACGAATAAATAGACGTCATATCGTTGAAAGTATCTTTCAAGGATTCACGAGAATATGAAGAAACTGAAAAATGACACAAAGTTCAAACGATCACATCTATACGAGCCGAAGGAAAGTTTCTGCGGCCAACCACGAATCTTTTCGTGAATATTCAGAGATATCCCACTCGGATAGTCTCTCCCCACTCTGTAGTCAAAATGATGTGTGAAACTGGCACGCTACACGTTGTCATCGATGACAGAAATTGGCCGTGTCGCGAAGAGGATCTGCATCGGTCTTCAAGATCTTTCCTGCAGAAACGACAGGCAGCTCTTGGCAGTGAATGCACCAGGATACGTTGTGTACTTCATACGCATAGTTATACTTCGACATAAAGAACACCCGTTGCTACTGGGTACCGTTATGTTATGAGAGATCCGTTGACCGCCGGTTTCCTCTCTCTTTCTCGCACTCTTTCCCCTGCCCGAAGAGCTCTGGTCTATTAATAAAAGCCAGCTCTCGCGACTAAGCGTCGAACAGAATGGCGTGTGCTCGAAGAAAAACATAGACTAGTTTCGTAACAAGTGACTAGACGAGCAATGGAAAAGCATAACCTAACGTTTCGACTCATAGTCCATCTTTTTCCATCTACCACCACTATTCTATGTAAATCTATATACCATCAGGAATTCGTTACGAGTCACTGAACTTTCCATAAGTCGAAAAAAATGGCGGTTTACAAGATACGATGATCTATCATAGCTACGCACATGTCGCTACATGTATAAAAGAAGGCGGATGCATTTTTGGCCGCGTTTAAAGCTGCTGTAAGACTATGCGC